CCCTTCCTATTCAAATGTCATCCTCTCTGGAGACTTTAATACCAATTTAATGATGCCATCTTCCAATTATTCTTACCTACCAAGCCTCCTCCATTCTTGCAGCCTTTACATAGTCCCCTACAACCCAACCCATCACCCTCAGTCCTCGGAGTTCTGGCTCGATCTATTTATCCTAGATTCAACAGAAAAACTCCTTGCTGCATCCCAGCACCCGGTCCCGTTTCTATCTTCCCACGATCTTATTCAAATTTCTTATAATATCCCTGTTCCATCCTTTTCACCCCGAACAATACCCTTCCGAAACCTAAATTCCCTCACTCATGAAACACTGTCAAAAGATCTTGTCCAGTAGGATCCCATTTACTCCTCAAAATCCATTGACACCATGGTAGAAACCCTTACCACTCATCTTCACTCTATCCTCGACCGACATGCTCCTCTTATCACAAAAACCATCCGACATTCTCCCGCTCTTTGGCGCACTCCTGCTTTGAGAGAGTGTATGAGAGAAAGAGATGCTGCAAGGCGACAGTTTAAACAAACTCGACTTCATGAAGATTTTCTCTCCTTCAAACAGCACTCAATTAGCAGTATGCCATACTAAATCCCATTACTACTATTATTCTTTATCCAACTCCCCTAATACCAAGGCCATGTGGGCTATTCTTAGGAAACTGAGCATTGGTAACAAACCTCAGTCCCAGTCCATTTCTGTTCTTGCTGATAACTTCAACACTCACTTTGTCTCCTGCCCTTTCACTTCCACATCTCCTGTGTCCAGTCCGGCTCCCATGTATTCCTCTTTTAATCCTCATCACTTCTTTTTTACAACCTGGAAAACTGTCCAAGTATGCCCCTAGAAGAAGACCTCTAACCCATCAGCTCTTAATGATTTCCGTCCAATTTCCCTTCTTTCAAACCTCTCCAAATCTTTAGAGAGACTAGTCCAATCCCAGCTATCACATTTTTTAGAGCACAATAATCACCTAAACCCCTACCAGTCCGGTTTTAGGCCTGGCTATTCTACTCAGTTTGCCCAAATCAAAATTTCCTAAGACCTTCATACAGCCATAGATCAGCAGAAACTAACCATCCTTATTCTCCTTGACTTCTTCAAAGCTTTTGATTCAGTAGACCACAACATCCTCCTAACTAAACTTCAAAATATCTCCTTTTCCTCTAGTGCCCTTAATTGGTTCCAATGCTTCCTTACCGGTGCTCCCAGTATGTTGTAATCCCTAATACCCCCCATCAGAATCTCTACCCTTGTCCAGAGGTATCCCACAAGGCTCTGCCTTATCACCCACCCTTTTTTCGATCTATATAAATGACCTCCCATTCTCTATCCTGCACTGTCAATACCACCTGTATGCCGACGACGTTCAGGTTTACTTCTTCTTCAATCCGATCAATTCCTCAGATGCCATTCTAAAACTCCAAGAAGACATTAACAGAATACGTGCTTGGGCAAACCTCAACAGGCTCAATCTGAACACCGAGAAGATGAACCTAGTTGTTACTTTTGATCAAACCCTCTCCTGGAAAACACACATCTCCCAAATTTCCCATCGCCCTATCTCCACCCTAAAACAGTTCAATCGTCTACGTTATCTCCTTCCATATAAGTCCCATCAACTCCTAGTTTCCTCTCTTGTTTTCCCCCACTTTGACTATGGCTATATGGTGTACAGTGGACTCTCGGGAGATTTCGAGACCAAACTTAAACGCCTAATGAATTGCACATTACGTTTTTTTTTCCGGAATCTTAAGAGATATGCATATTAACCACTATTACTCCAAGTTGAAGTGGCTCTATCCATCCTATCGCCGTCAGTACTTCCTAGCTACCTTTCTGTACCAGATCATTAGAAATCATCGACCCTCATATATTTTTCACAGCTTACAATTTAAATACTCCATCCAATCCCGTCCAACTAGATCTCATACCTCCGACCTCTATCCTCTTCCTCACCGAACTGCTATGTTTGACAAATCATTTGCAATTCAAGCCACCTCCCTCTGGAATTTCATCCCCGCTGATATTCGACACGCACAATCACATTTTTCAAACCTCTCCTTTAAACACCTACTCCTTTCTCAATCCGACTGATTATGAAATATACATAAAAGAGCTATATGAAGAACCCCCAGGAACTATTTCTGTTACTTTAGTTTCCTTTTTGACTGTCTTATATATAGCATTTCCAAGTCAATTTCAACCTTTTCCAAGTCAAATTAAACCTTTTCCATTTCAAATTCAACCTTTTCCAATTCAAATTCAACCTTTTCTATTTCAAATTCAATTTTCGAATTTTTGTCAATTTTCGATTTTTTTCGAAATGAAGGCCACTTACTATATTATCGAAGGCATAGCTTTCGAAAAATTTTGATAACGCGGTTGCATATCCATTTATTTTAACATTTTAGATTTTTTCAGTGTAATATTTCTATATCATATTCAATTATTTCCAAGTCAAATTCAACCTTTTCCAAGTCAAATTCAACCTTTTCCAGATCAAATTAAACTTTTTCCAAGTCAAATTCAACCATTTCCATTTCAAATTAAACCTTTTCCAATTCAAATTCAACCGTTTTCATTTCAAATTAATGTTTTAATTTTTTGTAAATTTTATATATTTTTTAAAATAATGGCCATCCCCTCTCCCCCTCCAATATGAAAGTCTATTGTTATGCTCTCCTAAGTACAATTTTCACTTATGGATATCGATTTATTGTACCTATTTGGATTTATTAGGGACTAGTATTATGCTGTCCTGTACCTAGTTTTTAAAATAACCTCCATTTTAAGATTAGGCCACCGCGTTTCGACTTATTTAAGTTTTTCGGATTTTTTCATATGAGGTTGTATTCTTATGTTTCCGGAGCCATATATTTTGAAAATGGCCTCCATTTTAAGATTAGGCCACCGCGTTTTGACTTATTTAAGTTTTTTAAATTTATCCAATATAAAGGTCTACTTTTATGTTTCCGGAACCGTAGATTTTGAAAACGCCCTCCATTTTATGATTAGGCCACCGCGTTTTAATTTCTTTAAGTGTTTTGAATTGTTTTTCATAAAAGGGTGTATTCTTATGTTTCCGGAGCCATAGATTTTTAAAATGACCTCCATTTTAAGATTAGGCCACCGCGTTTCGATTTCTTTGAGTTTTTAGGATTTTTTTCATATGAGGTTGTATTCTTATGTTTCCGGAGCCGTGGATTTTGAAAACGACCTCCATTTTAAGATTAGGCCACCACGTTACGATTTCTTTGAGTTTTTCGTTTGTTTTTTTTCATATAAGGGTGTATTCTTACGTTTCCGGAGCCATAGATTTTGAAAACGACCTCTATTTTAAGGTTAGGCCACCGCATTTCGATTTCTTAAAGTGTTTCGAATTTTTATCATAAAAGAGTGCATTCTTATGTTTCCGGAGTCGTAGATTTTGAAAATGACCTCCTTTTTAAGATTACGCCACGTTTCGACTTATTCAAGTTTTTCGAATTTATCCAATTTAAAGGTCTATTTTTATGATGCCGGACCTTAGTTTTTAAAACGCAGTGGCGTAATCTTAAAATGGAGGTCATTTTCAAAATCTACGACTCCGGAAAGATAAGAATACACTCTTTTATGATAAAAATTCGAAATGTGATGGCATAATCTTAATATGGAGGTCGTTTTCAAAATCTACGGCTCCGGAAACATAAGAATACAACCTCATAAGAAAAAAATTCGAAACACTTAAAGAAATCGAAACACGGTGGCCTAATCTTAAAATGGAGGTCATTTTCAAAATCTAAGGCTCCGGAAACATAAGAATACACCCTTTTATGAAAAAAATTCAAAGCACTTAAAGAAATCAAAACGCGGTGGCCTAATCATAAAATGGAGGGCGTTTTCAAAATCTACGGTTCCTGAAACATAAAAGTAGACTTTTACATTGGATAAATTCAAAAAACTTAAATAAGTCAAAACCTGGTGGCCTAATCTTAAAAAGGAGGCCATTTTCAAAATATACGGCTCCGGAAACATAAGAATATACCCTCATATAAAAAAAAATCCGAAAAACTCAAATAAGTCGAAACGCGGTGGCCTAATCTTAAAATGGAGGTCGTTTTCAAAATCTACAGCTCCGGAAACATAAAAGTAGACCTTTATATTGGATAAATTCTAAAAACTTAAATAAGTCAAAACACAGTGGCGTAAACATAAAATGGATGTCATTTTCAAAATTTACGGACTGGGAAACATAAAAATACACCCTTATATCGAATAAATCAAAAAAACTTAAATAATTCGAAACGCAGTCACGTAATCTTAAAATTTAGGTTATTTTCAAAAACTACTCATACGATAACAGACCCACACATCAAAAAATTAAAGATAATTAAATAAATAAAAAAAGGTTGAATTTGAAATGGAAAAGGTTTAATTTGAAATGGAAAAAGTTGAATTTGACTTGGAAAAAGTTTAATTTGATTTGGAAAAGGTTGAATTTGACTTGGAAAAGGTTGAAATTGACTTGGAAATGCTATATATGGATGTTTTTCTTGTCTTTTTCTCTCTTCTGTATTTTTGCTTTATTTATTTAACTATTATTCTATATATTTAATATATTTATGACCACACATACATGTATTCTGTACTTATAATTTGTTATAAAGGGAAAACAGTCTCAGAATAATAAAATATATTTTTATTTCATTTTAGAGACTTAAGATAAATAAAATTCTAAACAATCCTAGCCATTTAGTAGTCGAGATGAATATCGGATCCCGGGGACCGTAACCGCAGTTTACTTGTTAAAGAATGTTTATAAAGGTTTGAATGATAGAGAAGGACAAAGAGATGAAAAGGAGAGGAACTGTAATGTTAATAAGCACCAAGATTTCAGACAAGTGTGAATAAATATGACCTTTAAGTTACACAGAAAAATGTAAAGAAAATACTTGTCATTTTAGTTTTTCAGTTGTGTGGTCAAAGAAAAAAAAAGTAAGATTACCTTAGTTGATTTAGTGAAAGGAGCAGAGAATGTTGTGTTGGATGAAAATGGATCTGTAATGGAAAAATAACATGTGAATAAACACTACCTTAATAAATAACTAGAAATGTTTAATAGTTACATTATACAAAGGCAAACCAAGTACCATTCATAGAAATATTGATATAAAGATTCAGTGTGAAAACTGGCACTGAATTGAAAACTCTTATTTCAGATATACTAATTATAATTGTTATTGTATATAGTTTAAAATATTACTATTATTTTACACAACACCAAAAATTATAATTAGTGAAACCTGAAAAGATTACACAAAGTTTAGTTTAAGAAGTAATATTTACACTTGCTAATTAAAACCTATCTTAAATTAAATACCACTTAATAATAGACTGACCTAGTGATTTTAATAAAAATCGTAAAAATGTATTAAATCGAAGTGCCGATTTTGATGAAAACGTTGCTGTAATATCCCAGTCATATACAAACCTTAAATACGCAATTTCAATTTCGTACGACTTTTCATTTTTCAGCTAGGCTGTTTACTTACATACAAACACACAGACCATTTGGTGGAACTTGGTTATTTGGACTCTGGAGACCTCAAAACGCATATTTCCATCGAAAACTCAGATTCGAAAATGTTCACGATTGCAATACTTACACTTACTATATATTACATATATAATATCTATATTACTTATCCAGGTAAATGAAAGACAATTTTCACCACTATTACTCTATTTGAAACATAAATTAATATACTATAAGAATGTAACTTGAATTATAAATATAAACCTATGACAATTACTTTAAAATACAATGAACCTATGCACCATTTATTTTCTAAAGAAACATTCATTTTCTATACCATAATATAGAAGTATAAATTATTAGCTACAGCAACAGATTTTTCATTCATTTGTTGTTACTCTTAAGGCTCCTAAACTTGACGATAAAGTACCATTCAATATTCACAAAGTTTTTGATGTTGATAAAGTGACATAAAATAAACAAAGACGTAGAGTGATAGTTCAAACTATTATTTACGTCGAGACATCTACTACTTTGAAGTGTACTCAGTAAGCTTCAGTTTGATCGCTGATATATCTAATGATAATTAATAGTTTAGTGAGAAAGGTACATCTTTTTTTTTCAATACAAGAAATTACGATTTTGGGATTTTATTTTAGCAGAAATCATAGACGCATCTACTCCTACAAATAGTTTATAATAACTATCTTCATTTTAACATTTTCTGTGATATTTTCTTGTCCAATATTAAATTTCAATATATTACTCTACAAATTATGAAATCTGTATCTGTATCTGTATAAAATCAGGTTTAAAGTTGATATAAGCAATAAAATAAAAAGTGCAACGTTATGAACATCCGTTCTTTAACTATAATCAATGAATAACAATTTGTACTATGCACAAGAAAAGAATAAACAACTTTAATTAAATGTTAACTCACCATTAACGAAGCCATTTTGGTTATATATATCCATAGTTCTTGATTTTTTATTCTCATCTTCATTGGTGGTAGAGATGTTATCATTCTGCAACCATCATAAAATAAACATAAGCATTAAAATCTCATAATTTATTTACTAGTATAGATCTATTTGTGTAACACCAAATGAAATCCATATTCAAGTGGTTATTTTAAGTATAGAACGGAAAAATCAAAAATTAGCAATAAAAATGTCAGCACATCCATATGGTTATCCTAGGAATGAGCTAACTATTTACAGGAGCAATAAAAATAAAGTTAGATAATAATCCATGACTGTTTATTAGAAAAATAGTGCATTTACGGAATATACCAAAACAACATACTTTAGCAGCAATCCATGGCCTAGAGGCTACACTCAGTGTCAAAATGTTAAGACACACATCAAAACTACCCTCCCATCTTTTCAAATTACCTGTAAAACAGTTTTAAAATAATCCATCACTCACCTGAAGTTAATCAGCAGCCAGCTTGTATTTTGGTTCACAAGCCAAAAATATATAATTTTTTATTTTATTTTTCAAATTAAAGTTAAGGCTCTTCTAAATGTTAGACAGGCTCTCTGGTAAAAATAAATAACTCTTTTTAATACTCTGTGGCCTTTCTACCACCATTTATTAATTCAAAAATTCTGTTTGGTAATGAATCGTAAAATTGTTTGATTGTTTCTTGAAGTAATTGTTACCATGAAGTCAGAATTGCAGATTTCAAATTCTCGATTGTTTCGAACTGTCTTGACTCAAAGTACACCCTTCTTGAAAGAGTTCCCTAAACATTTCCGATAATGTTAAGGTCCAGGGAGACAGCAGGCCAGTTTAATTTGGCAACTCAAATTAAAAAAATTAGTTTTAAAATTACAACGATTAATGTCCTCAGTCATCTCGTATTCTATTTTAGATTGGTTTGCCAAGTATATTTTGAGCCGAGTTCCAAGCGTAAGTCCTTCTGTTAAATGCACCGCACAAATTAGTGACTTTGGCACCCATCAGTTTTCGAAATGCAACTATGTAGACCGGTAGTCAAAATATTTTCTTTTTTAGGGCTACATATTATACATCTTATCAAATTTTCTTATATAAAGCAAAGGCTTTCAAGCGACTGACCGGAGTTGTATATTCAGGCGAGGATTATCAATAATTTAAAATGGTTTTTAGCTGTTAGTCCTTCTGTTAAATGAAACCGGCAGTAGCTCCTAGTCTATCTAAGCACATTGTTCTTTTCATTTCAAATTTGCGACACTAAAGAATCCAATAATACTGGTTATGACAAACAAACTAACTGATGAAATTAGTAAATTAACACATTCACTAAACAGGATCGTGTTGGTTCTTGCAGAACTGCATAACAGATAATATAATATTATACTGCAATAAGTTATTTCATTGAAATACCAATAAACATATAAAAACAAGAAATTTAAATAATAATAATGTAAATTTATTTTGTGACAATATATTAGCTTACTTAGATGGTAAAATTAGTACCACACGAGAAAACAAATTCATGTGTGTCATTTGTTTTAGGTGAATTATTTTAATAATAATATGAAATAAGGCTGTGTTTTTTTATTATTTCACTACATTTATTTCACTTTTACATCCACATCGGCTAAGTTTCGGCTAGTAAGCCATTTATATGATAAACACTATTAATTCATACACTGATGCAATTTTATATTCTATGATGGTGGTATTAGTCATATTTAATTTAACATTTTATGAATTATAACCCTAATTAGATTAAGTCAATTTATTAATTTGTACCACAATTAATAGTGTTTATCTTACAGATGGCTTGAAAATGGCTAACTAGCCGAAACGTAGCCAATGTAGATATAAAAATGAAATAGATGTGATGAAGTAATAAAAAAACACAGCCTTGTTTTATATTAGAAAACAATTTTTTTTTTAAACAAATAACATGAAAAAATGTTAAATAATATTAGTTCTTGCCTGATTTAAAAGCCTTGTATAACAAGGATCTCTATATTCTGGTTCGAGTTCTAATTGGTGTTGAGGAACAGAATCTCCAGCAGTTAAAGCAGAATCCACAGACGAAATAGCATCCTTTAATTGCAGCTGGTGTTCTTGTATTTGCAGAATTTTTGTTTTAACCTAAAATTAACATAACTGCAATATTATTTAACATATAAACAGATGTTATACATATTCCAAAAATTGATTTGACAATATACCATGCTAATAGTCAATTGAGAATCCTGTAAAGAATTACTCAGTGCATTCAATTTCTGATTTAATTCCAATTGTTGGGTGCTAAGACGTGATTCTTCTAACTTCAAACTTTCAAGCTCTTGTTTTTTGGACATAAGTTCTTGTTCCTGAGACTTAACAAGAGCTTCCTGTTCTTCTGCATCCTTCCTTAGTTTATCCACCTGAAAATTAAAAAATACAATTTGGTTTACACAATTTTTAATAAAATTATACTTCATTACATTGATTGAGGTATCGCATTTCAAAATCAGCCAACTCTGTTTTCCATTTTAATTTATTAGTTTATTTTGTCCCTCAAACAGTTTACGAGGTGAAAGGATATCTTCCAAAATCAGTTACAAGGAGCACAAGGAAAATTTTTCAATGAGTGATGGCCTCATTAAGTATATGCCAATCTTTACCCGAGGAGGGAAAGGGGATTTCGCGCATGAGCAGTCCTGTTCCAACCTGTACAATAGCTGGCTGAGTCATTAGGCTTCTAAGTCACTAGGATCATTACTGTTCTGTGTTAGTGAAAAGTTGATTTCATCTTGGTCTGAAGTTGAATACAGAGGTATTTTACGCTAAAACTTAGCACATGGGTTAAGTCTTGATAAGTGTTTGGAGGAAGTGCCTGTACTTAGAGAGGATTGTTCACACTGCACAACAATATTCAGATGGTATCAAGGTATAAAAATAACAAAAATCTGGTGCGTGCATCACACGACTTTCACTTACCACCCTCTTAGCAGAAATAAGTATTTTTAGAAAAAGGGGAAGTGAAAGTAAAAATTATAGGCACTGTATTTATTACATTTCATTGTGGGTATTTTTATTTATTTAAGTACCCTTCTACAGTTGTCCCTTAAGTAGAGGGAAATATTTAAATGGTTGAAAGTAGACATCAAAATCTACAAAAAAGTTCATATCAACAATTGCCCAATTTCCAGCAGGACAGTAGAAAATTAAAGATTTGTGTTTTTTTTTTTTAAAGTGAGTCATGTTTTTTATTGAATAGGAAGCTATAAAATAAAAAACATTTGATTTAAGTAACTAAATATTTCTCCATAACAAACTGGACAAAATTTACTTTAAACGAAAGCAGAGTTTGTCATTGTTGAAACTATTTAAAGAGGACTATTGGGCGGACAAAGCTAAGTTTCGTTAAAAAATCAGTCATATATTATTTGTGATTTTTTTTTTATCACCCTTTAACTGTACAGTTACCCCACTTTATTAAATCTTCTTTATTTAATAAGCTTTAAGTACATATTAATTAAGTTGAGGTTTATTAGGAAAACTTTTGGGATTTACCTCAAGATGTGTAAATAAATGATGTGATTTCCTATTTAGTCACTTCAAAGTACCCGTATTTCTGCAAAAATGACTACAATTAACAGTTGCAAAGCTATTATTTCTTGTTTTTCTGGAATATGGAATGTATTGTAGAAAAATCCTTAGAACAGAGGGAAATCATGATAGATATTCGTTGATACCGAGGGTGCCTTTGACAGAACCCCCTATGACCATCATTAATGATGCACTAAGGAAACAAGATGTGGACTCTATGTTCTCAAGATGGATTGCGAGAATGCTTGAAGACAGAGTCCTAACATCGAAACTAGGGCATAAGAAACTCAGGATTAAACCTTGCGGTGGATGTCCACAGGGAGGTGTGCTTTCCTCTCTACTGTGGTGCTTTGTGGCTGACTCATTGTTGGAAGCCCTCAACACTGCAGTTGTATATACAAGAGGATCGCAGATGACATTGCTACCCTAATAGGAGGGAAGCATCAGAGTGTTCTCTCTGATCTCCTCAAAACAGTAAGTGACATTCTGAGGAATTGGTGCAGCACTAACGGGCTGAGAATCAACCCTAAGAAAGTCAGCGTGTGCATCTTCACTAAGAACAAAAAGGTGTTTATTAAATTGTTAGAAATTAATGGTATCCTACTGACACACAGCAAGGAAGAAAAACACCTTGGAGTCACACTGGACCATAAATTGTCATGGACCAAACAAGTTCAGTACATGACAAGTAGAGTCCTCAAATGCCTATGGGCCTATAAAGGAGCAATAGGCAAAAATTGGGAACTCAAACCTAAAATGGTATACTGACTATATATAATGACAGTCAGACACATTATATTATATTTAACTTTGCTTTGGTGGCATTGTCTGATGATAACGAGAGCAATGGGCTCCACACCAACTGCTGCTATGGAGACAATGTTGAACATGCCACCACTGCAATTGGAGGTAGAGGCTCGGGCAACAAATACATTATACAGGCTGAGTAAGCTAAAGAGTTGCTCCTATATACCTTGTCAAGGGGGACATATAAAACTGCTGAATAGGATTGGATGTGACGAAGTGCTAACCATGAACTCCGATATGCTAATTCGTGAATAACTGGACTGCAAATATGAGGTCGAGATTGACATCAGCAGACAACACAAACCAAAAAATGGTGTAAATTGTTATACAGATGGCTCTTTAACAGCATATGGCTCAAGAGCAGGCATTTATCGAAAAGATAACAAAGAAAAAGACTCAACACCTCTTGGTAAATACGCTTCCGTATTTCAATCCAAGATACTAGCAATTTGCCTTTGAGCTCAAAACCTACTGCGAAGGAAAGTGACTGGGAAAAAGATTATAATCTATACTGACAGTCAGGCAGCAATAGGTGCTATAAAAATAATTATTATGTATACTCAAAGGTTGTTAAAGAATGCAGCATAGCACGTCACAATCTGACTGAGCTTAATAGAGTTGCAATGGAGTGGGTGCCTGGTCATTCCGACATTCTAGGCAACGAAGAGGCAGACAAACTAACCAGGTTAGGCTCAGATACTATTCCCATAACTCCTGAACCTGTCTGTGGAATCAGTCTTAGTACTGCCAAAAGAAGGATTAGGGAGACATAAGGTGACAAATTTAAACAACACTAAACTGAGAAGAAACAACATTCAAAGCTGTTCCTTAGAGGTCCATGTGATAAAAGAAGTAAACTGCTACTGAGTCTGGATAGAGCAGCTCTGAAAAAGCTTACAGCGATCTACACTGGCAACTTTAAGTTAAATTATCACATGTTCAATCTCTGAGTGACGAAAAACCAGTTATGCAGATTCTGTCAGCAGGAGAATGAAACAGCCTTTCACATCGTTATGATATTATCGTGTCGATGTGATAGATCTGCAAGGCTTAGATTGGAACTATTTGGGAAAGAACGGATAGATCACCCCAGTAGATATGAGGCTGTCAATCCAACAAGCCTATTAAGAAACGGACTGCATAATGACACACAATAGATCCATTAGGGTCGCAGTGCATTAAGCCAAAAAAAAAAATATATATATAAATAAAAATGTCTTTAGGTACATGATTTAACTTAATTGTACAAATGATCATTCAGGTTTTAGTAGTTTTCAGTTAGGAATGGTTGACTAAATATTTTCATAAATTAAAAGATAATTCAAAATGCTATTAAGAACATTAAAAAACCATAAGATAAATAATGTAAAATATTTTTTTTGAACTTCATACCATAGTAAAATATTTGCTGTTTGCTACATTATTAATCCCCTCTAATTATTTTCATCTTAATACCCTGAAGTTTACAAGTCAAGATTGGCTGTAATAAAAATAATTTTCTCTCTTGTCTGTTAGCCCTGATAGTTGGCTAAAGTTTAATTTAATTATACTTACTTGATTTTTTAAATCATTTAATCTTTTCTGTGCTTCTCCCTTTTGGTTTTCAAGCTGCTTTAAAGTTGCTGCTAATGTATCTAATTCTCCCTAAAATGTAACACGTATTTCAATTTTAATAAATCAATGAATTACTGTTAGTTTTAACTCAGTAATTGATTTTAGACACTTTAAATAAAATTCCTGAGTGCTAATTAATATGTTATTGGTTTTTGCTAGTTATTCTTAAGGTTGGTTAATAGAGTTTAAAGAATTGAAATTTTGTTTTTGATTGTATTATCTCTACATTTAAACTAGTTATTAGAACTAACAAAAATAAACTATAAAAATTATAAAACTATATTTAATAAAATTATAAACTATAAAAATCTACTTGACAAAAAATAAAATAAAATTCATCTTCGAGTCTACACAAAACCTGTAACACTAAAACCCATGAAGGGTCTTGGGTTCAGTACTTAGTAAGGAAGTATTGTTTCTTGGTCAACAGTGTGCATGGAGCTTAATTGACTGAGGTCATGCTCAATCGCCAGGTTTCCTCCATTAATTATTTTTAATTAAAGGCACCCACTTTTTAGAAGCTAGGTATGCCTCCAGGGTCAATCCATGGCTGACGAAACAGAATAAATAATTTATCAGTCATTAGTCAGATTCGAACCTGGGATCTTGAGCATTGGAAGACAGTATCTTACCACTGAGCTACCCCACTCCTAATGAGAATCTAAGCATTGTTTTCCTAATGATGGTACTAGTATTGGTGGGGGGAACTAATCCAGCAAGTGAGCTATATGATCCTTTTTACCAACCCATGACGGCTAAATTGAGGTTGCCATCGCATACTTACCAAAGTGATAATGTCAAGATTCATTTCCTGGGGCAGCAGAGAAATGAAAATTAACCAACCCAGGGGAGAATCAAACCCATAACATATAGAACAAAGCATTCTGGGACCCATATTCTAATGTGCTCAGCCACCCCATTCTTGATTCTACACAAGACAAAATAAAAACTGCCACAATTTAAACAAATTAACATAAACACTATCTAATAAACATAAATGAAGGATAATTAATGATGTAAGGTGCGATAATAGTAGACTAAGGAAGGAGAACGAAAAATTGAAAAGATCGCTTGCCTTAAACAGTAATGAAAAAAAAAAGGCAAAACAAGGAGTCAAACCTAACCACATCCGCTACTCACTTAAAATTCCTATATGCAAAGTCCATAAAGAACTTCACGGTTCGAAATTTGATGCACAACCCCTGGGATCGGTTGAGAAATTGAATTCAAATGTCAGAATTCTTACATTCCATAATATTTTGTCAAATGCTGCCAAGAAGCCCCCTCCCCCTCTATATAGAGGCTCAACATGTTCAGCTTAAGTGAAGAGGCAGTGTTGATGATAGTTGGCTTTATTACCGTTTTTGTTTATGAATCAAAGAGAACCAGCTAACACCATCAGGGGTGAATAAAGACTCCTCACCTGTAAAGTCATAGTAAGGCAAATATGTGAATATGCACTTTTGTCTCCATGTTTATCACAAATTTCAGTAGCTAAAATGTGTCATGGTATAGAGGAGCCATAAAATGAAAAAAAAACTTGGATCCAGAGCAAATGGTACCTACATGGCGAAGTAAAATTAGCTTAAATGATATGACATGCCACAGGGCTGTCAAAAATGCAGTTAAGAACATGTCAAAAGAAATCAAAGTGAAATTCCTTGAAATAATTTTTTCTCTTGTCTGATGAGGTAAGCATGGTAACTGCTGGTACCGAAAAGCCTGAATTTTTCCAAAAATGAAATTGATAAAGGAAAATTTGTACCCATAAGTTTCTTCATTATTATGGTTTTTATATATTTAATACATATTATGTTTTATAATCATGTTGTTTAAAAAATAAAGGAGATTCTAATATCAGAGGGTGAATTTTTATAGTTCATTAACTGATATGAACACTATCAATTTTCCATAGCACTAAATTGATTGTCACGTCTGCTATAATACAGGAAAAAATAAAAATTAAATTATTTCTTTTTTCACTATTAGTTATTATTATCATAATTTTCCTGAGCTAAGGTTGATGAAAGCTTCAGTGGTCTATCACCAGTTAATTATTAACAAACTCAAAGTTTCCAAAAAATATTAGTAACACTGATTTGTTTCCTTTCTTTTTTTCTAGTGCTCAAAAATAAGTTAAGAACAAAAAGAAACTAATAATAAAGAAAGAGATTATGGAACAACCATTTGAATAAACAATAAACCATCTTTCTTTTAAAAAAGCATAAACACATAACAATATATCTGATGACTTTTGGATTCACTAGACAAGTTATTTTTGTTATTATGAAAATAATTGAAAATTTCACAACCCCACTCTGTGTAACTTTTTATTGAGGTTGTAACTACAAAAAAAAAAAAAAAAAGGATGGAAGTTATAACCTATAGGTCCCGATTTTTTTAGACACATCAGCAAATTATCATTTCTAAAGACATCCATCCTAATGTGGACAATACAAAGAAGTAAATTCAAGAAGAGTTAAAACTTAACATTTTCTTAATTGCAATACCACAAAATGTAAATTACCTGAAGACTTTTGGCTTCGCTAGACTTAATTTTAATTTCTGCCTCTTTTTGCAGGATTTCAGCTTCCAAAACATGTTTCTCTTTGGATAAATCCTCTATGTCCTGACCAATCATGTCCAACTCTGGATTGTTATTAGCTGAATTTGACACATCATGCTAAAAATTAAATATAAAAATATGCAAGTAAAAAACACATACGTGAATATTTAATCCATACATTAGGTGTGCCCAACATAAAATATGCATTTTTTAAAAAAATAACCTTTCTATCTATTCTAAATTGATTAAGAAAAAAAAATAGTAAAAAACAATATTCCATTATTTTGCTTTAGAGTTCCAAAAGTTATGTCACTGTCCACTGACGAATAATTCTATCTCAGAGGCATGCTTTGTTAACATTCTCCCTCCACAATTTTATATATTTAAAAAAATTAATATGATTCTTATGTTCTGAAAATCAAAATAAAAGGTTATTCAATCTTATATCCGTTACCACTGCAATCAAGGACAAAGAGGTTGACTCTTATTATCATTATTTAGATGTGAGAGGAGTTAATGAACAACTTATTATGAAATTCATTAAAACAGATACGAGGGTGGTCTGAAAAGTTTCCAACCGCAACGAGAAGATGGCAGCACTAGTAAATAAAAGCAAGTGAATTTTGTTGTTTATCTGTTGACAGTTACCCACCAAAGTTTCAACCATGAGTGAGTTGATGTGAGTTTTTTTTTGTGAAAATGGACAAAATCGAGTATCGAGCTGTCATTAAATGTTTGTTTTTGAAAGGCAATAGGCCTAAGCAAATCAAAGATGAGTTGGATTCTGAGTATGGAGACTCTGCATCATCATTTACCACAGTGAAATTTTGGGCAGCTGAATTTAAGCATGGCTATAAGAGCGTGGGAGATGATGAACGTTCGGAATGTCCAAAAACTGCAACTACCAACGAAAACATCGCCAAAGTTCACCAAATGGTGCTAGACGACCGCCGAATTAAAGTGAGAAAGATAGCAGAGGTTATGAACATATCAAAAGAATGTGTTTGTTACATATTAAATCAACATTTAGATATCAGAAAGCTGTCCTCACATTGGGTGCCGCGTTTGCTCATGTTAGACCAAAAATGTGTTCAAATGAACATTTCCAACACTCTGTTGGAGCAGTTTAGGCCTCCGTAAAATAAATAAATCCGAGTTTTGGCGCCGATTAATTATTATAGATGAAATATGAATGGATACATAATTATATGCCCGAAACAAAAATACAGTCCAAACAGTGGGCTGCAAAGGGGAAACCAGCTCCAAAAAAAAGCAAAAACTGTTTTCTGGGTTGGAAAAGTAATGGCGACTGGTTTTTGGGATAGTCATGAAGTTATTTTAATCAATTATCTTCAAAAAGGAAAAACCATCACAGGAGCATACTATGCATCATTAATTGACAAGCTGAAGCCAGAAATTGCGGAAAAATGGCCACATTTGTAGAAAAAGAAAATCCTGTTTCACGAATACAATGCATCGTCTCACACCTCTTGCCATGGGGAAAATCCTCGAATTACAGTTTGAACTGCTTGACCATCCACCTTACTCACCAGATCTAGCCCCAAGCGACTCCTTTTTGTTCCCTTATCTAAAAAGTGAGAGACAGATATTCAAATGAAGATGCAATCACCTTTGTGAACAATTATTTTGCAGAGAAAAACGACGAGTACTTTCTGGACAGGTTACAGAGATGGGAGCGTCGCCGGGAGAAGTGAGTAGAGTTAAAAGGAGACAATGTTAAAAAATAAAAAAAAATTCCAGAAAAAATGTCTTGTATTTTCGTTAGGTCCAAAACTTTTCAGACCACCCTCGTATTAATCTCTTGTATAAAAACAAGTAATGGAAACACCAAAAGGAGTTTTCCTAAAATGTTTGATATAAAACTCCTTGACAAAGGAAATAAAATGAATGTGGAAAAAATAAAACAAATGTAAATAAAAGCAACATTCTGCTTATATATAATTTTATAAAATGTCTTCAATTGACCTTTGATTATTATATTTTAACATAATTATTTAAATTGGAAATTAGGTCAATTAATTAATTGAACAAATTCCTAATTCAAATAATTATGTTTATATATATACACAAATCATCCCCCTTCTTATGCCTACAACTTTCTCCAATTCAAGTTCTCAATCCATTCCCTTACCACAAAATCTCAACCTTCTGACCTTTAAATCCCTTTCCACATACCTGCCTTATTCCAAAGCTGCTTCATTGCATTCTGCTATTTCTGGAATTCCATTCCTTTAAAAATCTGGCATGCTCCCTCCTTATCCAAATTTAAAATTATCCTATTCTGATTCCTATTCACTAAACAGTCAGATACTAGATAAAATGCTTCTTCTTAATTTTTTTAAAGCTCCATATTTGACTTATATGTGTTATACAGCACATATATATTCTTTTTTTTTCTTGTATGGTTATTTTTTTTTTTTTATTTGTCTCTTGAATCCAAGACTATTCAAATGTATTTGAAAACTGATTTAAATAACAGATGTATCTTCTTTAATTTATTGGAGACTTGAAACTCATCCACTAAAGGAGTTTAATTTAAGTTTGTTTTCCTTTTTATGCTTTTTGTTTTCTCATATAAGATGTTTTGCGAATATTTTGTATATATTGTTAATTTACTGAATTTTTTTTGTTTTGTTTTTTATTATCATGTGCTCAGTTATTAGAGATTAATTTTTTTTTTTTTTTGTCTTCTTTTCATAGTTTTTTCTTTCTAGGCAGAGATTAATTTTTATCATATAGTTGGAAGTTTTATACATAATTTTATATTTGTTGTAAATAGCAACTTTATTTAATGTTTTCTTTTTATTCTTATTTTATTTAATGTATCAAGCCTTTCAGCAAGAATGGCGAAGGGGGATGGCAGCCCCATCGCCCGGTCATAGGATTGCAAATAGCCACTGGCCCTCCAGGTTGGGGGAACAGTACACTGACACTCACACATCTACACTAATTACAGCACACTACCCTCACCCCCACACTATATACTGAGGCCACATACACAACACACCCTAGGGTCACCTTCTAGATAGCCTCCCCGGAGGGGGTGCAGATATACAAGCATCAAGGTGGCAGTCACACCAGTATATTAGGGTATGGAGTGAGGGTTAGAAGCCCCCCTTATATTTCGCTGAAGCTTATATTTCGGCGAAACCAAAATCAGCCTCGGATATGGATCGTCACAAACAGAAACAACGCAGCAACCCCTATAGAACTTTTAATCTCAGATACTGGAATATTCTTTCACTATATAGGCCCGGAGCACTGAAACTGCTCCTTGATCAAATTGAGCATTTCAAACTGGACATAGTTGCCATCCAGGAGATCAGATGGATTGGGCAGGATACTCTTGAAAATAGACGACACACCATATATTATAGCTGCAGCAATACCTTCCATGAATATGGAGTAGGATTTGTTGTTAGAGGGCAATATAGGAAACTGGTCATTGGCTTCAAGAATGTGAACCCGTTTATCTGTGTGCTAAGGATTCATGGAAAGTTTTATAATTACAGTATTATTAGTGTGTATGCTCTGACAGAAACTTCGATTGAGGAAGATAAGATGCCTTTTATGAAGAGCTCGAATGAACCGTTGATCAGTGTTCAAGGTATGACATGAAAATAATTGCTGGAGATTGTAATGCAAAAATAGGGAAAGAAGAGGTATATATCCCAACATCAAAGATTAATTATTTAAAATAAAAAAAAAAATAAAGGTACTTTAAAGGGAGCTAATATTGAAAATTAGCCATTTAAGCCCTGTTAACTAATAAAATGATGTATGTACTCAGTAAATGACTTCTACAGCTTCTATAATCTCTTACCAAGGCTAGACGAAACAATCGGCTATCCTGAGGCAGGGATTTTAAAGATCATATCTAAATACACAGATAGCATCTCAAAAACCCTAGACATCAGCCTTAGGGAAGAGGGAGGGAGCAATTATCAAAGCATATACAACACCAGCAATCAGTCTCAGCAATATATTTATTCTATGAAAAATATTATTAAGATTTAATTTGCAATATAATGAAAGCTACAATTTCAATCAACATTAACTTAGCAGCTTGTGCTCCTGTCTCTGGTATAAGTAATCTCCTTTCTATATCCTTAAAGGTTATTAATGAACTCCTGAGTCATACAATTTGTCATTCAATAATAGCGGTTTCCAACTTTTCAAATGCAACTCATTGAATAAGATACTCATTACACTCTGTGTGTTAATATATAATGACCTGCACTTGATACCTTAGGTTCCATCTAATGTAGGAAATTTATGGCTGGGTTATGAAGGAACTAAAGCAGATACATATCTGTGATCTAAATGATGAGTTAATATTCACCTAATATGAAAATTAAATTTAAAATCTAATAGTTAATTTAAATTAGATTTAAAATCACACAAACTCACAACAATCTGAGACCTCATGCTTGGAGGAATCATTTCCGGTGTTAAGGAAAGAGGAGGATCCACATTAGACTTCACCTTCTGCTGTATAAACCACATAGCAAGAGCAAATTGCTCAGCATTCAATTTTCCTGATTGTTTGATATCACATAATGACCTAGTAAAATGAAACAATAATAGAAAAAGTCATGAAAAATTGTAAAATATGAAAATAAAACAAAGTGGTCTTGCACAAAAAACAGTTCTTTGTAAGTTTATTGAAAATTATATACAATTGTGGTTAACGATTGTATATAATTTCAGAGAAAATCTATTGCTTTATAAATTGTATTTGTATAATAGTTGTATTAATAATAGTTTAATAATAGTAGTAGGGTAAAGTCACCAATTATTAACACTTTAATGAAATATTTCAAGTAATTTACCTTGAACTTTTTTATTATAAACCTATTTGTATGCTTCCAAGTTTTCATACTAGTCCAAGTTTGTTCTACAGATTCCGCTTATATAATGAAAGACTATAAAGTTTTAAATATTTTGAGCCCAAAACTGATGACAAGTTTTTCACTAATAACTGACACGCAAAAACAAATTTTCGAAAGGGAAAGGAATCAGTTATTGACACTATATTCAACCATCAAATGAGTTTATTTTGAACAAAATATTTTTGTTTATAGGTAAAAAATTATCACACATTATTATCTGAATACTTTAAAACTTATAACCCATACCTAGATATCACAAAATGGTATAAACAATGAAATAGTATACTATAGTAGGTAGGTATACTTTGGTACATTTCAATCGATATTTAGAGAATAAGGAAATATGGGTTTTCTTATTTCCAAACATTAGAGGCTTTAGCAATTTGGTAACTTTGTTCCACTCTTCGACTTCTCATGTTTCTCATCCTCATCAAATTGAAAAACATTCTTCAGTCTGTTTTAAGCTCTAAGAGGTTTAGCAGCCACCTTTCCTTCTGAAACCCTGAAAACTTGAAAAGCCAAAATTGCCTTTTTCCTAATAATAACTATTGTGGCTGTGATGAAGTCACCTTTACTTATTATCTCATCTGAGTCCAATTCTGCCAAAATTTCGACTTCTATTTTTTATGATTGTGGCCTTCGTCGATGTTCTTCTATTTAGGTCATTTTTCTGTACCCTTCTGTTCATTTCCTTGTTTCTTGCTATCCTGTTCATGTTCATCTTTCTGTTCATATAAATTCACTTTGTGTCAATAATTTGAGAAACTTACCATTTTGAAGATCCAATTATTGACACCCCTATTACATGTTCTTTTAATCAAAATTCACACTTGAAAATGATATCACATCATCCAGAAGTGATACCAAAATGTGTCAAAAGAATTGAAGCTCATAAACATTACAGGACGAGATAAAATGGGGAAAATTTTGCCACACCTTTTTGGCAAAACCCGTAAAATTCCAGTGACTAAGGTGAAATGATAAGAAAAATGTGTTTTCCACTTAATTTATGACCCAATAGAGACTTTATCTTGGTGGCAATCAGTGGCTGATTAATGTGCTTTTGAAATGGTGTCAAGTTTGAAATCCAACATGAACCTAAATGTATATTATATTAAATTTAGGTCACAAGTGTCAATAATTGGTAACATGACATGTCAATATTAAGTATTTGTGAAAAAAAAATATTTTTTCTCAAAAACTTCAAAATATAGAATAAAAAATATTGATATTCGGAGGGTCAATAACTTCGGTAATTGTAAAAAGTATAACAAAAAAAGCTGTTTATAAAACTAAAGATAGTTAGGAAGATACTGGTACATTTATAGATCAAAAGTGAAGCGAAAGGAAACTACAAGCTATTTAGAGACAGCTTAAGTGGCAAGAAAGGAGCTACCCATTTAATGGTACGGTCCTCTACTGCTTGATAAAATTTTGACCTTAAGATACCACAGAATTAATTATTCCACTTAGTATATACACCACTGTATTTCAGGTAGAGGTATTACCTATAATATCCACAATTACATGTTTGGAAGTCTTCAACTGTGTAAGAGAAGGCACTATTATCTCCACAGATAATCAGTCAGCTCTTCAAGCCATCGAGTCCCCCCTAAAGTGACATCTACACAGATAAGGGAGTGTACACAGGTATTGGAAATAGTGGCCTGCTCTAAGAAACTAGGAGTTAGTGTGGGTATCCAATTAAAAGGGATTCATGGGCGATGAGAATACCAGGAAGCTAGCAAGAAATTGAGTTAAGATCTCTATAATAGAGATATACCCATAATATTTGAAGCTTAGCATTATCAAAATATACCACATTTCAAAGATAGTTTTAGGTTTTCTGGTTGTCTTTCATTCAGTTTATGTGGAATCCATTTTCCCATGGTTTTCATATTTATGGAGACAGCTTCACGTTACACTCAATTGATCAGCTACTGGTTGGTTTTGAGCGTCAACTAATTATGCTATTAGCTGCTGTCAAACTTTTTTGGAAGTCATCCAGGCTCTTTGTTTTTCACATCAAAATCACCACTTTTGAATTTTTTTCAAACCATTCAAAACACCGTTAATTATCAAGAGCATACTCACTGTAAGCTTTGACAAGTATTCAATGTGATTCTGCAACAGTTTTCATAATTCCTATTTGCAAATCTTAAATCTTAGTTTTAAGCAGAAAACTATACATGTTCAACACTATTAAAATGATGCTGTTATATGAAACTTGTAAGTTGAAAATCTTTGCCAGCTGTAGAAGAAACAATAAGGTGCTGATAATGTAATTTAGCAGAGACTACATTAAAATCTAAAGCCATCTATGAACAAATTCTGGTTTCATATTTACATACCTGGTAAAACGGTCCTTGATTGGGCATGGAGAAGAACAAGTTAGGAGTAAAGCGAATGCATTGAGCTTCAGTGAGCAAAGCAGTGAACTAAAAATCCTTCCTCTTCTAGAACCAAGGGGCTGCTTGGCCAAAACAGAAACGGAATTGTACACCCCGGATGTGTATCCCCCCTTTTACTAAAGTACCAACAGGACACAGCAATATGCTTTTTAAAGAAATAAGTTGATTAGACCTTATCAGATAAACAACATTTTTCACTATGATCACATAGTAAATAAAACAATGAATTTTTGACAAACAGTTAATAGGATAAAGGCACATATTGACATATCACCAATTTTTGACACTTTTAACTTAAATTTGATAAAATATGTGTTTTGGTTCATGTAGGATTTCAAACATGGTGCTCTTTCCAAGGATCATTAATCATCCTTTGAAAGGGCCCCAAGTAAGAAATCTTACATGAACCGAAACGCTTATTTAATCAAATTTAATTAACAAGTGTCAACCATTGGTAATATGTTAATAATAGGTGCCTTTAATCTATGGATTCTAAAATAATTTTGAAAATAAACTAATGAATGAAAAGAAATAATAGTGAATTATTACAAACTTACAAGAAAAATTGAAGAAAAAACATAATGAAATGGTACTTCTTCTGGACTCCAAATAAGTCTCACCTTGGTCAATGAATCAATGAGGCATGGGTTTTCAAGCCGATATGTAATTTCTCAGGTAACACTTCAAAGAATTTTGATGTTAGTGTCATAAAAGAAGAACCAAATGTTGATGCATATAATATTCATAAAATGAACAAGAGAAAAAAAAATTACTACAAAAACTATCTCAGTGAATATGAGCAAAATTTAAGTTAACTCTCCTATTAACTAGGTGAAGGAAATAAGACTAAATATCACGATTGGTACATACCTCTCCTGAATTGTTAGTGATTTGGCTGTTTGTCTTGATTTAATTAGGGTAAACATTGGAAAGAAGATATATAGCAAGGTAATTTAACGTAAATTTCACAAATGAAAAATATCAACTGCGATCTAAAGATATACCAACCATTCTTTTTATGAAAAATAAAATTTCCATAAATCATGTATAATAAAATTCCATAAATAAATAAAAATCAAATTTGAAAACGGAGTTTGCCATAGAGAGTTAAACAAAACTTAAACAAACTTAAGAACTGTGTACCTATTTTTAAAAGAATGATAAACTAGGCATAGGGTCCTCCGAAAACTTCCTCTTTTATGTCACCCTGTTGTACCTTTCATCATAGGGGAGCATAGCCAGGATTGCCACTATTCTCCAGGTATGACATCCTTGGTCTACCTCTAGTTCTTCTACAATAAGGAGCATATTCCATAGTTTTCAGGGGATCTTGGTGTTTCTCCATCCTGACAACATGGCCAAACCTCCTTCATGGAGAGGACTCCTAGTTCCTCTCTGATCCTCTCATTGCAGATGCAGCCCCTTCTTGTTTTCTCTACAATTTTTCGAAGAAACCTTATTTCCAAAGCTGTCACACTGCTCTGCCGTTTGTCTGTCATTATTCAGCTTTCAGCTCCATGTAGAAGTACTGCCAAGCATACCGACTTAAAAATGTGGAGCATCACATATCTGCCAACCTCTCACTTTCCAATAATAGTATTGCACATCTGGTAGTAGACTGCATTTTGCTTAACTTATCCTGTGTAGGATTTCTAAATCCACTTTCCAAGATCATTCCGCAACTGTTCCAAGGTAGATGAAATCCGGGACTGCTTCCATTTTTCCTAGTAAACCCAATAAGGGTTAATATCTTTCTTATTTTACAGGGCAATTTTTTGATTAAAAGAATAAAAGGTTACTGAATGGTTTTCTCAGTTTCAAGATAAGAAGACAATTTAGGTGATGATTGAGGAAAATTTCAAATATTAACTAGTGACTGCGAGTGTTGTGAGCCCGGTAACAGCGTGGATCTTATTTGATCGCAACTATTGTAATTTTGGCAGTGAAAGGATTGAATTTTAATAATTTGTAAGAAGGTGATTGATAAAAAAGTATTACCAAATACTAGCTAAAATTGGTTGAGGCACTCCAGATCGAAGAAACACATCTTTAATCTCATTTCCTGACACATATCCATCTTTATCAACATCTGCTAAAATAAACAAATTGTCAAATTTAAGTTTATCATCAGGACTAACAACCCATGCTGAGTTCCCCTGAAAACAAACAAAAATCAGTAGTTTATTAATTGAATATTACATTCAATGAAAGATAATAATTAGTTACCAGAATAAAAATCAAATCAAAAGCTAACCATACCACCATAATTTTTATAAGTATAAATAATAATTACAACAAAAGAACAAAATAATTTTTATAAACCTAAAAAAATGTCAAATCAGCTGAAAATAAAATAAGATTTAAAAAAACAGATAAATAATTGAAATTTTATAACATTAAATCCAATCCCAAAATATATAAACAGAAATCGCTCTACTATCCACAGCCAAAATCTGACATTTTGGTTGCAAACTGAGACTATACTGAAAAAGATTTACCCAAGGACTGCGAATGGGAGAGCATATAAACACACTAACCAATGAACAAATGAATGAATCTACCATTATTTTACATTAGAAAACTTAAAAAAAAAAAAAAAGACATTTAAACAATGATTTGTAAATATTGTACATAAGTTATTGATTTCTCTAAATAAACTAAACTTACATTTAAATAAAAATGACTTTTCATTAATTTAAATAACAAAATATGTACATTCTAATATTGGCGGAACTGACAGCATTTTTAGGGTACCTATTTTAGGTACCCATATTCATTTTCTATTTTTTATTCTCCACTTTAAAATTTTGCACACCTTTATCTACCCTATGTTAGAATAACAAATATTTTTTTAAATAAAAATCAAAAGTGATGTTTTTTCCAAATTTCAAATTGAAAAAAGCAAGAAGTGAACTGTTGGAATATGCTGTTTTACAAACACAAAAATATGTACGGATATATTTTTGTTCTTTGCATTATGTTGCATTTTTGTTTGTTTTTTCACTATGAAAGTATGTATATGTATTTATACCAATAAACAACCATGCTTTTTTTACACTGTTGTTAATTGTAACCCTAACCAGAAATTTAGTTTAGAGATATCCAATTGTCGATTAGTAGTACTGTTCAAAAATTTGATTTTACAGATATTTCAGGAACGGTTGAGTTGCCTTCTGATTTTTAACTGTTAATATTGGCAAATCATCGATAACTTTATATTATTTAAATTATATTTTTATTTAAAGGATGTGGCAACGGTCGCAGCAATTCATTGGCTGGCAAACACCTGTTTGTCTGACCCGTGTTGCTCCTTATAGTGTTGGAGTCCGCGACAAAAAAGGATTCATATTTCATACTGAGGTTTGTCCTTATAAATTAACCATATCCACAGGCCTGATGAAAAAAATTCACGTCTGCCAGCATATAGCAACTGGAATACAAATATGCCATTTGAAGATAGAAGAGACCTTACATAGTTTGCAAGCGTATGTATAAAGAGAGCTTATAGATATATAAAACTACCAAGACTTTCAGTTCATATTATTTAGTCTTAAGACCTGAAATAATAGCCAGTTACTCCATACTAGTAGATTTCAAGTCGAAAAATTGAATTAACAATTCAAAAAGTTTACTTTTTTCGGTTTTTCGCTTATATCAGTGAAACTATAGGTTATATCTATAATAGTGTGATATGTGAAATTAAAGCTGACAAAATTTTACAATAGAAATGGTATATATATACAATAGCATTTACAATAGAAATGGTTATATTAGTTTATTCACTATATTCGGTAGTTCCCATGATATTCGTCGTCGTAATTCACTAATTTCGAAAAAAAAAAAAAATTGTGCATCGTATTTTTATCATTATTCGACTTGCCAACTCTTTATCTTTTCATTTTATGAAGAAGTCATGAGGAAGAAAGTTGTTTAATATAAAATTTTCTTTAAGGATATATATTATTTTACTATTTCACCTTCAACCATTCAAAGGCTAGAGCAATTATAATTTAATGATTAAACTTCGAAACTATACAAAAAAACTTTTTCTCATCAGGTCTGTTGAAATAATCAATTTATAAGGACAAAGCTTAGTATGAAATATGACACCTATTATGCCAAGGGCTCCCAGATTATTATAAGAGCATTTACAAACCTGAAATGTCTCAGTTTTTTAATTTTTTTCTTTGGGTACACCCCTTCAATGCCATTGAGGCTATACAAAGCCTTTCTTGGGGGGGAGGGAGGAAGGGGAGTTATAACTTTAACTTGTAATTATTATTATCACGTAAAATATTATCATGTAAACTTGGGTTTATAAGGTTGCCGAGAAACATTCATGTCTAGTCAATGAATGCCCGAAAAGAGAGGCATAGAAGGAAATGGCGGGGACTTAATTTTTGAGTTTGGGAAATTGTTTCGACTAGTGAAGAGGTAAGCATACTCAAATCCCCACTCTTAGGTGGTGAGCCAGGTGTGGGGAGGGGAGAGAGGAGGGCCTAGAAGGTCACTTTTTTCGGGTTTTCACTTATATCAGGAAAACTATTACTTTTTTTTTTTTTTTTTTCCAATTTTTGGTTTTTTTAGTATGACTGTTTAATTACTCTATATTTTTGTTTATGTATCTCTGAGGCTGCTTAGCCCACATTTCTATCTTTTTGTATTATTCTAAAGGGACTCATCTCAGAATAAATATAATATTATTATATAACGATTATAACAATGTATCGGCATATACATGGCATGTTTGATGATTCAGATGGCTTTTATAACGTCATTTTGAATGGATATAGTGATTGGATTTACTGACTCGATTTTTTAGAGTTTTTAGAAAAAATGATCGTATATAGTGACAGTTGCCTCGCGCGGGCTCATTACCGTGTATGGGGAGCGTCCCACGGGTGGCGGATGAGGGGATGGTCGGTGGAAATTCCTTGGAAGTTCCTCCCGGCTAAGTCCGATGGACTTGCTGACCAACAATGAGAGGGGCCCTCCAGACTGCTGGAGGGGCTCCAGACTTGCTGGAGGTAGGGGCCCACCAGACTTGCTGGAGGGTGTGACGTAGGATTGAACGCCCTACTCACATATCTTTAGTTCACCAAACACCACAAAAAGTCATGGATCTCCCTAAGGTAAAACGCTCATTATCCGGAGGTAAACTAGTCCCCCGTTCGGGTCTCCGGGTGGGGACTGCTTTAGGGGATTCATGGCGCAAGTTGAAATATAGGGATTTAAATATTGGTACGTGGAACGTAAGGAGTTTAAACACAGCAGGGGGGCTAAAATCGGTCGCGAATGAGGTAAATGGGTACAATTTGGATGTCGTGGCTCTGCAAGAGGTTCGCTGGCCAGGGGAGGGCTCGATGAGGGAAGGAAAGTACACTATTTGGTACGGAGGAAGCGGGAATCATTGTTTAGGTACCGGGTTTCTAATTAGGAGTAGATTACTATCCGCTTTGAGGGACGTACAATTCTTTAGTGATAGAATTTCGGTAGCTACATTTCAGGGACGTTGGTTTAAAATCGCATTAATAAACATACATTGTCCGACCGAAGACAGTGACGATGAAGTCAAAAGTGAATTTTACGATAAACTCGAATGGGTTTATGATAAACTACCGCGAAACTACATGAAAATAATTGTAGGTGACGCGAACGCAAAGGTAGGAAGGGAAGAAGTTTATATTCCGACGATTGGTAAAGAAAGTTTGCACGAATATAGTAATGATAATGGGATCCGTCTGATAAACTTTGCCATCTCGAAAAACCTGATAATTAAAAGTACGACGTTTAAACATAAGGATATTCATAAATATACTTGGACATCACCGGATTCGCAAACACGAAATCAAATCGATCATGTCTTGATACAACACAGCTGGCAAAGCAGTATAATCAATGTACGGTCTTATCGCGGAGCAGAATGTGGGTCGGATCATGAATTAGTAATCGCGAAACTTCGACAAAAACTTAATATAAAAAAGAGAAAAGAAAACCGTTTCGATTTTGAGAATTTTAATTTGGAAAAATTAAAAAATCCATCAATTAGAAACCAATTCGAGCTAGATGTTAAGAATAGGTTTGAAGCTTTAGAGCTTCCTGACGAGGACCACGAGGATATTGACAAGTTATGGGTAGAGATCAGGGATAATATTAAAGCGGTCGGTAACTCGTGCCTAGGAAAAAAGGAAAATAAGAATAACAAACCGTGGTTTGATGAAGATTGCTTAAACATGTGCGAAAAAAGAAAAGCCGCTAAATTAAAAGCTCTAAATAATTCTAGCGAAGACAATGTGGAATACTTCCGAAAGGTATAAACAGATCACGTAAATATGTAGGGCCCGTAACGTCTGGAATTAGGGATGATAATAACAATATTCTGACCGATCCGGTTGACATATTGAATAAGTTTAAGGACCACTTTGACAATATTTTAAATACGGGAAATTATGATCTGTGTCCTCCTTCTGAGTACCAGAGTGCTGAACCGTTAATAGAAGGACCAAGTAAAGAGGAAGTTGAAGTAGCTATCGGAAAATTAAAATCATATAAAGCAGCGGGAATCGATAATATTCCTACTGAACTAATTAAGGCATGCGGGGAAGCTGGAGTTTCTAAAATACATCGGTTGGTTAAAAAGATCTGGGTGAACGAGAAATTACCTGAAGAATGGAAAGAATCTATTCTTATTCCGATTCACAAAAAGGGTCCGAGGACGGATTGTAATAACTATCGAGGAATTTCACTCCTTCCGGTATGTTATAAAATATTCACTTTAATCTTAACCAGTCGAATCACGGAATACGCCGAGGAAATTATCGGAGACTACCAATGCGGATTTAGACGGAATCGTTCGACTATTGATCAAATATTTTCTTTACGGCAAATATTAGAGAAAAAATTGGAGTATAACGGTATTGTTCACCAGCTGTATATAGATTTTAAAAAGGCTTACGATTCTATTGACCGCCAGAAACTGTATAATATTCTAATCGAGCAGGGGATTCCAAAAAAACTAGTAAATCTAGTCAGGATGTGCTTGACGGAGACACTCAATAAAGTTAGAATCGGTAATAATTTGTCCGAAAAATTTGAGGTTCGTTCGGGCTTAAAACAGGGGGATTCTCTTTCGCCTGTCCTGTTCAATTTGGCATTAGAACATGCCATTAGGGAGGTAATGCGAACCGAGAAAGGGTTGGATCTGGGCGGGACAACATCCGTGCTGGGCTATGCTGATGATCTGGTACTGTTAAGCGAAGACGTTGAAACTATAAAACTAAATACGACAACGTTAATGAAAGCCGGTAAAGAACTAGGACTCGAAATAAACGTGGATAAAACAAAATATATGGTTAGCTGCAAAAATGGCGATACTACTGGTGATATCGATATAGATGGTAATATGTTTGAACAGGTAGATAAATTTAGGTATCTAGGTTCTACGATAACTAGAAAAAACGAAATTGAAGAAGAGATTAAGGTTAGACTGAAGGCGGGGAATGCTTGTTATTTTTCTGTGACAAAACTACTTAGTTCGCGCCTCTTGTCCCGAAACTTAAAAATTAGAATCTATAAAACAATTATCTTGCCTACAGTTCTTTATGGATGCGAAACTTGGCCGCTTACATTAAGGGATGAGCAGCGTCTTAAGGTTTTTGAAAATAAAGTATTGCGTAGAATATTCGGACCGAAGAAGGATGAGTTAACCGGAGAGTTCAGACGGTTACACAACGCCGAATTGCGTGAGCTGTATCCGGGTAATATAATTGAGGTAATTTCATCGCGGCGAATCAAATGGGCTTGTAAAGTTGTTGGGCTTAGTAACGAGAGAATTCCTAAAAGGTTAATATTTGCTGTGCCGAATGGTAAGCGTCCGAGGGGTAGACCGAAGCGAAGGTGGGAAGATTGCATTAAAGCCGATCTGAAGGGACTGGGTTTGGACGGCGAACGGTGGAGGGAGGTGTGTAACAAGCGATTGGTGGTGTCGGCATCGAACCTCCGGGTTCGCTAAGCCTTATTATTATTATTATAGTGACAGTTGACCTCCTAAAAATCTTCGTATTTATATCTCACTTATCGAAGAAATATTTTATTTTATAAATTTTATAGGACCAATTTCATTCCCACTCTTAGTGTTAAATTCATATTTCTGTTTAGTAGTTTAATAAGAATAAAGAAGAGCAAAGTGTTCTAGATATAAGAATTATATATAGGTTGCCGACTGAAGAGTCTAATAATATCTTGGCTCAAGAATTCAACATAGATCTTACAATTTGGACAAATTGTGAATCTAATCGAGAACATGCTGAATCATTTATATCCAAAAAACGACTACCTATCTACTCCGCTATTAGACAAGGAGCTACCGACAATTGTATTTAACGGAAGGACTTATAGCTAGTAACCATTTTAAATATTAGATAAACCTCATCTGAACACACCACTTCGGTCAGTCAGTTGAAAGCCGTTGCTTTCTCTACGAAAATTTAAATTAACGAGGCGAAATTTGACAGTTCATTAAACGGAAGAACTGACAGCTGAAATTTTTATATGACGTAAAGAATATGTTCCTAAAAGATAATTCAACTTGATTGACGACACCAAAGACATCACATTAGGGCTGTCGGATGGTAGTTGGTTGAAGAAATGTTCCATTTCGTATCAAGATATATGCAAAAACATTGAAATTTCTGACCTTTTTTTAGTTTTTTGGACATGACAGCGAAACTGTGCATTTCATCGAAATTATATACAAAAACGTTAAATAAAATAAAATTTATAATCAATTTTATGCATAGCTTTTTTATGTAGGAATAATGGGTGAGGAGTAAGAGAATATTGATGGTTTGCATTTTTCACATAAGAAATTTTTTTTTGTCGATTTTCCTCCAAAACTCATGATCTATGCATGTATCGAAGAAATTCAATATAATCAATTTGAAAGAGCATTAAGTTTCATATGTACCTCAGACAGATACGTTAATATGTAAGAAGATTAAATGGCTGTTAAAGCTCAGAGAATCGAAGCCGTACTTCCCTTTTAGAATCTGCCGCTTTCAAACTAAGTGCTTTTTCAATGCCTTATTTTCGGATAATTTAATTATTTTATAACAGATTACATAGCTTTTATATATTCTGTTGGTAAGTGAGACTTCAATATGCATAACAATCATCACAAAATTAAGGAACAAAATGCATTTTAAAGTCTGAGCGGTCCGACATTTCGCTTACTTGCATATTACGACTCTACATAAGCATGAATTATGTGAAGCTGCCAACGTTCCGCTCTCCTTCAATTAACCAATGAATAGATGTATACTTAAAGATAGTAAATAGTATTATTATATTTTTCTTTCTTAAAAAGCATTGTTTTAACTCCATTTTGCTTACATTTTATTCATCACTGTTGTTTAATTCCAATATAACGGTCCTGGCCATTTTTATAGACAGTGACAAGTGGACAGATATAGATTTTTTTTTTTTTTAATTGGCTCTACAGACCTTATAGATCTTTGACCGCCTGAACCAGCCTTCTCCACCTCTGCCTATCTTGGACTACTGCTTTCCGTTTGTGGCATGAAGCTCAGCCGTATCTTTGTTTATCCTATATATCCATCTGGTTTTTGGCCTCCCACGTGGTCTCTTGCCTACTACTCTGGTATTGATTGTTGTGTAAAGGCGTCCTGATGGATTGCTATGAGCTACATCCTCTCCCGCCCATCTTAAACTCCTTGCCTTCGTGTCATGAGATATTGACTGACCCATTTCTTTCAGCAGTTCTTTATTGTTTGTTCTCCTCCATGTGTCAAGGTTCTGGTCCCATATAGGTCCTGTTATCCTACATAGATTTGCTGAAGGACTTTCCTTCCCCAGATCGGGAGGATCTTCTCGCATTCCTGTGTCAGGACCCATGTTTCTCCTGCTTAAGTGACAATTGGTCTCAAGATAGTCTTATAAACCAGTAGCTTTGCCCTCCGTAAAAGATTTTGAAAACGCAAAGTTTTCCGTAATGCAAAAAGACATCTATTGCCTGCTGTGATTCTTGCTTTAATTTCGATACTGATGTCATTTTCGTACGTCACTAAGGCTCCAAGATATTTTAAACTACCAGCTTTCTTAAAAGTGTGGTAGAGCAGTTGCATGCTATCCTGTCCCTCCTGTTTCTCACTTTTTGAGGATATCATATATTATTATTTTTTCCTTATTTATTTTAAGACCCAATTTTTTCCCAGCATCTTCAAACTCCTGTAAAGCCCCTGATAGTGCAGCTTTAGATCTTGACGATATTACCACGTCATCAGCATGCGCTAAGTGTTCGGTAAGTCTATTATAGATTGTTCCTCCTGGGTTTGTCTTTATTGCTCTAGCCATTTGCTCCAATGCAATATTAAATAATACAGGAGAGAGAGGATCTACTTGGCGTAAATCTTCCACTACCTCAAAATCTTCTGACAGAGTGTTCTGCATCTTCACCCAGCATCTGGTATTTGCAAGGGTAATCACACTCAATCCTATGAGCTTTTATGGAACTCCAAGTACCTTCATTACTTTAAGCAGCTCATTTCTGTTGAGGCATTCATGTACCTTCTCTGGAGGTGTAGATTTTTTTTACATAATTTTCATTTTTTGTGCTATCGCGTATCAATTTATCAACACTTTAGATTTTTTTGATGTAAGAATTCATTATTATGTTTAGGGAGGCGTGTTTTTTGAAAATACATCAATTTCAAGATTGTGTCATTGCAAATTAGTTCAATTAAGAAGATTAAAAAGAAATTAACACAGTGTATATGTAAGTAATTTTATTAAAAATGCTTACATGACAATCTTGAGGCCCAAAAGTAATGTTATACTAGAAAAAAGTAAATCAATTCAAAAAATTGAATCATCAAATAAGATAGGAAAAAAAATTGTCAGAGCTAAATTTTAAAAATAGATTAAAAAAAACATTAATTATTTTTTAAAAAATCTTACATTTGTTATTAATTGATTTCCTGTCTGCTTGCCTTCTTGTCGCCCAGGCGGAAGTAACTCTGGTGGTAAGCTATTTGGGATTGCATATTTCTCTAGAGCTTTGTAAACCAAGTGCATTGCCTAAAAACAAAAAAATATTTCAAAAATTCTGTTAATAATATAGTCATTATTAATGGAATCACTAATAACCTTCAACGTCCACATCCCAATATTCTGATCTTTCTACCTTACTTTTTACAAATCTATCCTTCCTCAAATATAATATGACAATCATCATGGAGGTAACCAAACATAATAATGATAACTCCACTACCAATCTTTGCACCTACCACCCATAACTCTACTCACTCATGCTAAAATTCAATAAAAAAACGAGAACCACTTTAGAAACCAAACTAATTAAATTGCTGACAGAAATCTCAGATCTTATGATTTCATGTCTCCTTTGCTGTAGAGACAACCTAAAATCCGAAATTTGGAAATCCTCTGTCTCATTATTTCCAATGACGATCCTTTATTCTCCAAACTTAGTAAATCTGTTCTTCCTTCTCTTGAGCTTTATAGTAAATCTGGATGTCTCACCTTCCATGGCAAGTTTTTTTTTATTATACTTCGGAACTTTCCATGAAAAATGAACATACAGCACATCTTACTCAATCAAGAAGATCTTACTTCTCATCTAATATCATAAACAAACCTAAACACCATTATAAAAATTCTACAACTCTCCTTTCTTCTTTTAACAACCTACCTTACATTCCCACGCTCTCTAATGACGAAGAAATTCTTACAATCCACTATTCATATTTTATAAGATGGAGTTGGTCGGGGATGTGGTAAAATAAATACTATAAACTAGAATAGTATTTTATTAATTATGCCGTTTCAACCCACTTTTTAGGTCTTCATCAGGGTTACAAAAATACAAAATATAAAAGGTACATAGTGAAAATAAAATAAATGAATTATTAGTAGATATCAAATAAGAAACAGTTGTCTGATAAATAAATAGTAAGATGATATCAGTGATATAATAGGTGATAGTGTAGTTAAAGTATCAAGTATTTTATATATATATATATATATATATATATATATATATATAATGACACAAAGTAAAATAAAAAACAAAGATGAATAAAAATAGAAAACAAAGGTGAATATAGCGTGTAAGTTAAAAGTAAACACTGCCATAAAATCTACCAACCATGACTCCAAAGGAGTATTTAGAATTAACGGAAGAATCCCCGAAGCCTTCGTCATGAAGAATATTGGACAGGGTGACAACCTTAGTCCTCTCCTATTTATAGTATTTACGGATGAAATATTGAGAAAATGCAAGTGGGGAACAAAACGAAAGGGTCATGGGAAGGAGAAACATGAGAACAATCCTTGCTCAAGTGATGGTTTTCGCAAATAATATTGTTCTCATTGCCCATTCCAAAGAAAATCTTCAGCAGGCAGTTACTGAGTGGGAGGCTGAGCTAGAAAGAAAGGCTATGGATATTAAGTGTTGGAAAGAGCAAAGTGATGCACATTGGTTGAGAAGAGAAGGAAGTTTTGGTTCGTTGCAAAGGAGAAACCTTGAAGACAGCGCAGGAGTACACTTATCTCAGATTAGTGCTCAGCAGAAACGGGAAAATGGACCAAGATCTCTTAAACAAGATTAAGAAAGCTAACAGCATATGCTACCAGCTATGCAGCACAGTGGTGGAGAAAAAGGAATTGAAAAAAAGTATAAAATTACATATCTTTAAGTCCATATACTTCCCTACCCTTATTTATGGAAGTGAGAGCTGGGTGACGCTGTACAGGCACTGGAGTAGAGCTACTGCTGTATAAATGAAGTATCTTCGGAGAATAGCAGGAAAAACAAGGAGGGACAGAGTTAGGAATGAAAGGATACAAGGAGACCTGGGAGTGGCAGCTTTAAGGGAAACAGTCGAAAAGAGACAGTTGGGATGGTTTGGTCATCTATGCAATATGGATGAGGACTGTGATCTAAAGAAGTTTTTTAAAGCCAGGCCTATCAGACACATGTCCTTGAGGAAGACCTAGATTGCTATGGATGGACCACATTGGGGGCGGGCCTGGGCCTTAGTCTAAAGGTGGAGGACATTGACTATGCAGAACGGATAAGAAACAGGCAAGACGATACACCTGGGCCGCTTGTGGTAAGGTTCGTCCGGCAGTCGCTTAGGGATGAGTTGATCCAGAGGCGAAAAGTCATTAGGGATTTTTCAACACGTCACCTCGGATGGCAAGAAAATGACGCCCACAAGATCTACCTGAGCGAAGCTATGTCCGTAACCAACAGACACCTGTACTGGCTGGCCCGGCAAAAGAGGTCTGCAGGAAAAATCAGGTACAGTTGGTTTAGCGCAGGCAAGGTGAAATGTCGACGAGACGATGGACAGCAGGTCGTCGTCATCAACTCACCATCAGATTTAGAAACGTTTGCTTGACATGCATATACATGTTACAACACTTTGAACAATTTTGTTTTTACTTTTTTATATCCCCAGTTTTATGTTTTTGTTGCGTTTGTTTTAATAATAGACTATGATAATAATTTCATTTTTGTTTATGAGAATATTTTAGGTCTGATCTGTCCAGAAACTCTAATTTGTGTATTTTTTTTCTTTTGCACAATAGGAATATGCTTTTCGTTAACTAAATTTTATATTTTTTGTTTACCATCCTTATTAATATCTAGGAGATCTTGCACACAATTGGCTCTAGCTGCTGTAGAAATATTCCTATCCTTAACTCCTTCTGTCCGTTTACCAAGCCACCCCTCCTTCTTCCATGACTAATATCCTTCTAACCTGCCACGTCAACGCTCAGTCACTCTTAGCCCATTTTGATGAATTTTACGACTTTTTTCTCCATAACTTCTACCATTTAATTGCCGTATCCGAAACCTGGTTGAAACCCACAATCCCGTCCTCCCAGATCCTTCTACCTAACTATACTCTCCTTCGTCATGACAGAGTAGATCGCACGGGTGGTGGAGTAGGTCTCTTTGTCCATGACAGTCTCAAATCCAAAATCCTTCACTGCTCTTCCATAACCGATTCTCCGCACGTTGAATACCTTTTCGCCGAAATCCTCACCACCTCATCTGCCATTCTGTTTGCTGTCATATATCGCCCTCCTAGAATTCCTTTCGATGAATCACTTGAGACTTTATTGTACAACTTAATCCCTTCCTACTCAAACATCATCCTCTCCGGTGACTTTAACACCAATTTACTGGCACCATCCTCTGATTATTCCTACCTAACAAACCTCTTTAATTCTCTCAGCCTTTACATAGTACCCTACAATCCAACCCATCATACTCAGTATTCAGAGTCCTGGCTCGATCTAATTATCCTGGATTCCTCAGACAAACTCCTTGCCGCATCTCAGCACCCGGTTCCGTTTCTATCTTCCCACGATCTTGTCCAGATCTCTTACAATGTCCCTGTTCCATCCTTTTCTCCCCGAACAATATCCTTCCGAAACCTAGATTATCTCACTCACGAAACATTGTCAGAAGGTCTTGACGATATCCAGTGGGATCCCATCTACTCCTCAAAATCCATAGACACCATGGTAGAAATCCTAACCACTCAACTTCACTCTATCCTCGACCGACATGCTCCTCTTATCACAAAAACCATCCGATATCCTCCAGCTCCTTGGCTTACCCCTGCTTTGAGGGAGTGTATGAGAGAAAGAGATGCTGCAAGGCGACGGTTTAAACGAACTCGACTTCCTGATGATTTTCTCTCCTACAAACAGCTTCGAAATAGCACTCAATCAGCAGTACGCCGTGCTAAATCCCGTTACTACCATCATTCCCTATCCAACTCTCCCAATACCAAGGCTACGTGGGCTATTCTTAGAAAACTGACCATTGGTAATACACCCCAGTCTCAGTCCAATTCCGTTTCTGCTGATAACCTCAACGCTCACTTTGTCTCCTGTCCTCTTGCATCCACATCTCCCACGTCCAGTCTGGCTCCTATGTTCTCTTCCTTTAATCCTGATCACTTCTTTCTTTCCCATATTACACCAGATGAGCTCCTTAAATCCATTCAGAAGTCCCATACCAATGATTACGGTCCCGACAACATCCCAGTCAGACTGATTAAAGCCGCATTGCCATCCATTCTTCCGATCCTTTATCATATATACAATTATTCTCTTCAAAATGCTACCTTCCCTACATCCTGGAAAACCGCCCTAGTACGCCCATTGAAGAAGACTTCAAACCCATCAGTTCCTAATGATTTCCGACCGATTTCCCTCCTTTCAAACCTCTCAAAACCATTAGAGCGGTTAGTCCAATCCCAGCTATCCCATTTTTTAGAGGACAATAATCTCCTAAATCCCTACCAGTCTGGATTCAGGCCTGGTTATTCTACTCAGTCTGCCCTAATCAAAATTTCCCAAGACCTTCACACAGCCATAGATCAGCAGAAACTAACCATCCTTATTCTCCTAGACTTCTCCAAAGCTTTTGATTCAGTAGACCACAACATCCTCCTAACCAAACTTAAAAATATCTCTTTTTCTTCTAGTTCCCTTAATTGGTTCCAATCCTTCCTAACCGGTCGCTCCCAGTACGTTGTAATTCCTAATAACCCACCATCAGAATCTCTACCTCTGACCAGAGGCGTCCCACAAGGCTCTTCCTTATCCCCCACCCTTTTCTCCATCTATATAAATGACCTCCCATCCTCTATCCTGCACTGTCATTACCACCTGTATGCCGACGACATTCAAATTTACCTCTCCTTTAATCCGACAGATATCTCAGATGCCACTCAAAAACTTCAGGAAGATATTGACAGAATAAGTGCTTGGGCAAACCTCAATAGGCTCACTCTGAACGCCGAGAAGACAAAAGCCATCTTGATCGGATCCCCTTCACTCCTCAAATCCTCCCCAGTATCTCCCAATCTCTTCCTGAACAACTCACCTATCTTATTCTACACCACCGTTAAAAACCTAGGTGTTACTTTCGATCAATCCCTATCCTGGAAACCTCACATCTCCCAAATTTCCCGTCGCACTATCTCCACCCTAAAACAGTTCAATCGTCTACGATATCTCCTTCCATATAAGTCCCGTCAACTCCTAGTTTCCTCCCTTGTTTTCCCCCACTTCGACTACGGCTGTATGGTGTACGGTGGACTCCCGGGAGATTCCGAGGCCAAACTTAAACGCCTAATGAATTGCGCACTACGATTTGTTTTCGGAATCTCAAGGGATACGCATATTACCCAGTATTACACTGAGTTGAGGTGGCTCTACCCATCCTATCGCCGTCAGTACTTCCTAGCCACCTTTCTGTACCAAATTATTAGAACCCATCGACCCTCCTACATTTTTCACAGCTTACAATTCAAATATTCCATCCAATCCCGTCCCACCAGATCTCGTACTTCCGACCTCTATCCTCCTCCTCACCGAACTGCTGCGTTTGACAAATCCTTTGCAATACAAGCCGCCTCCCTCTGGAATTCCATCCCACCTGATATTCGACACGCTCAATCAGTTTCCTCGTTTAAACCACTCCTCTTTAAGCACCTACTCCTTTCTCAATCCGAATGATTGTGAAATATATCTTAGAGAAATATCTGAGCACCACCAGAGACTACCTCAATTTATTAAGGTTATTTTAGTTTCTCATACATATGTACAATTTACTTGTTCTTTTTTTTCTCTTTTCTGTATTTTTATCGTAAGTCAACTTTCATTGTAAATATACAATTCAATTGTAGCCACACAGACATATAATCTGTATTCATATTTTGTTCTTAAGGGACAACAGTCCCAGAATAATAAAACATTTTTTTCATTTCATTTCATTTTCATTTCATTTCCATCTCCAGGATTGGTGAAAGGAAGAGGAAGTCAATGAACTCAATGAAGGTGCTGGCTCGGGATCGGGAGGCTTGGCAATCCTGGATTGGGGCACCTGCACAATGAGAGGCACTAAGGATGATAAAGAAGAAAATTCATCCTTACCACAGTGAATTCATGTTTGTCTAAACTTCCGTCCTTATCCATGTCGGCTAGGTCCCATATTTTACCTAGAGTTGCAACAGGTAATTTTGAGTCTATGAGCAATCCTTTCACCTAATGAAAAAAAAGTTAATTTTTAATAAAACAGATATCATGAACAGAATAAAACAGATCAGGCATTAAGTGTTATTCAAACACAAAAATAAATATAAAACAACAGATTAAATGAAAATTAATATAAAATGAATTTTAAGTGTAGGCACATTGATGGTATGATTAAGTGCAAATATACTATTAATTTATTTACATACTTCTATTACTTAAACCTTAATACTAAAGATGCTAATACTAAAATAAAATATGAGTTAAAAGAGGGAGATAATCTTTATATTTCAAATAAAAGAATACCTAAAATGGAACTATTTGTTCTTAAAAATTAAAATTCCATCAATGATCTCATTAAATTGATACTTCAAGATTCTTTTGTTAGCTATAACAATGAGTTAATGGAACAAAACCTTGAAAATTGAACATTCTAAAAACTATCACTTAAAGTTGAAAAGGAAACTAAACAGAATAACTAATTAGCAATGAATATGCCTAAAAAAATATTTTGAAAACCAATAAGATGAGTTGACTCATTGGCAATGAAAAAAAAAGTTTTGTATGAAATTTATAGTAAATTTTATCTTTTTTCACTATGTATAGAATAATAATTTTGATAAAATGGACAGTTTCAGAGTCATGGCCAAAAAACTTTAAAAACGCAGACATTTGACTTTTGTTTCCAAATATCTCGGAAAACAATGGAAAATTTTGTTCGGGAACTTCTAGGTCAAATTTCGTCACATTAATTTAACTTTTCGTATAGAAAGCAATGGTTTTCAACAAACTGATCAAAGTTGTATATTCAAATGAGATTTATCGAGAATTTAAAATGGTAATTAGCTCTATATCCTTTAGTTAAATGAAATGGTCGGTAGCTCCTATTCTATAAAAAAAGCAAATAAGCTAATGTGTAAAAAAACCTATTACTGACTTAAAATATTTAAAAAACATTTCTTACTATTAACTGAATAGAACAAACATATGTAGTAGAATAATGCACTAATGAAAACAAAACAAACATACTATTACCAAAAATATTTCATATCAAACATAATATTAATAACGGTTATCAACCAGATTACTTTGTAATATTACATATAATTAATTTATGAATATTTAAAACATTCATATGAATGAAATAAAAATATTACAGCCAGATTAGTAACTGACTTCACATAATTTAGGCAAAACAATATAGATAAATTAATGAAGAAAAATAAGCTAAATTGATTTATCAACTATATATAATTAGGAAACACATGATTCATTACTTATTGCATAATAAACTATATAAAGAAAATATGAAAGGTGGGTCTGAATATAATAGTAAAATATATAATGATATATGTGTCACTATTGTTATGCACGATGCAATAGTGATATTATTTAATAGAGACATAATCATCAAAGGAAATCAATGAAAATGAATAGATAAGAAAATATTCATTATGAAGAACTACAAAATAGTCTACCATAACAGCAATAATTAAAATTCGTTCACCACTATTGGAATTCCCAGACCGAAAAGCTCTCCAATTACTAGCTATTTATCGAGTCATTTGATTCAGAATCAGAAAGAAGAGCAAATATAAACTGCAGATGAAAAGTTCAGGACTATTATTTATTTAATAAATGTAATTTAATAATTCGAAATCTCCATAAAACTTAAGATAAGTTCACTGTAAATACATATAATACATTATAGCACCTAAGATTTATTAAAAACTAATTGTATAGATTACTTATACAAACAATTAAAACATCATGAATAAAAGCCTAATATTTCACTAATATTTATAAGCACATTGTATTATTACGCATTCATGCGTATAAACAATGAGTTTTTCTAGGGTTTTTTCAAGCACATTTCCTAGGTAGCATTAATATATATTTTATCTGTAATTTAATTTAGTATACTCTTAGTTCTTTAAGTTTTAATTAACAAACTCTCCCCCATCCCCATGAAGATCAATAAAAACAAGTGTTTCCATTGAACTACAGAGTAATATTTACTGACTGAAACTGACTGCCACAAAGATTTGAGCTGAAGTCATCACAATTACAAAAAAATCTGGTGTGTCCACTCACACAACTTTCCTACCTATTTCAGAAAAGTTTTTATATCTTTACATATGTCCATCAAGAAACAAATAAATTGAATTAGATTTATTTTCCTGAAAATTGCTAAACTAAAAGATTTGAGTTCAATTTATTGGATAAACTAGAGCAATGTGAACCGGCTTAAGGTAGATCAGTATAAAAATTTCAATACCCTCTAATATTGCTGATCAATAACTTTTTGCCATAGCCTAATTTTGTCAAACAATAATTTCTGTTAAAAGTAGAGGAAATAGTGAAGGACATGTGATGTGGGCAACAGATTTTCTTACTTTCACTTATTTTTTCCCTCATTCAACCCTTTCTGACACCAAGATATGAACCCGTAATCTTACATTGGCAATTGAATAGCTGTAACTTTGTTAATAGTTGTCCGAAATGAACAATTTTTATATAGTTTTGTAGGGAATTTCATTACCTTTCAAAAAAACAGGCTGAACGGTGTTTTTCAGACTCAGGGGACTCTGAAACGTTTAGATCCATCGAAAACCGCATATCGGAAATTTGACCCGATCGCAATACTTTCCTTACCTAGTATAGGTAGGAAAGTAAAAATTGGTTTCTGTTCCTACATTATAATGAAGATTCAGGGAAGTCAACTTATTGGGATCTTTCAGTTAGGTAATACCACTTCTAGAACCTGCTAATAAGAAAAAGCATTAATGAGCACTTGCAAAAAATTGAAATGGTCCTAAACTTTTTATTGGAAGTGAATAACTTGTAAAAGAAGAATTAAGTAGTAAGTAAAAACAGTTGACCCTTATCCTTGTCACCATTAAACATTGTAGATATCCTGAAGGCAAAATTAGGAAAAAGTATATATAAGCAAGCCAAAAAATATTTTATAGGCATTAGCATTAAGACTGATGAACAAAAATCTGACAGTGTAATGAAGAATTGATCAGTCACATGTGCCCCAACTGTGGTAAGTAAAAAAGAAGAAGAGAAATACCCATAGTTTGATGAAAAATGAAGTTCATTATTAATAAAAACATTTTTCAAATGAAGTGATGATATATAACAGACATAGTTGATAAGAACAGGCTGAGGAAGAACAAAAGCAAAGAAATCTTTTTTCAATGAAACATTTACATCAAGTAAAATAGAAATAAAAAAAAAGACAATATAAGGAAGGAAATGAATCATAAAGCTAAAAATAAGAGCTTGATCACTATTTAAAACTCATAACCATGCAGTGTGAAACGTGCAGAATTGTTAGTATGGCTACCTTTTCCTAATAAGTTACTCATAATTGTTTTCAAAAACAAAACGATGTTACCTTACCCTGATGGCTGCCACCATAACAGATAAATTCCTAGTAAGAACAGCTTTTCAATATCCATAACACAAAAAAAAGAAAACAATTTCACTTTTCATATCAAAACACATGGACCTGCAAAGAAACACAGGAGAGGTTCACAGAACAAAAAAGGACATAAAATGTATGTATAGCATTAAATGCAATAAGCTCTTTTCCCCATTTCTATATTTTCTTCAATTATGCACCAAGAAGAAGATAATTATTAAAACCAGGGTATTAGGCATGCACAATGCAATTTCTTGGACTGTAAGCATACAAATTATTTTAGACACAGGCAGTATCAATCTGATTTAAATTTTAAATTATATATGAAACTTCCACAATTATAAACCAGATTATAATTATAAATTTCATGGTTATAACAATAATATTTCTAATTTATCAATTATATCAGCATAATAAATGCTCCAACTCCTAGAGTCTATTTTTAAATTTATTGTCTTTTCAATATTTTTGTTTATGTATAATTTTAATGGCCTAGCACAACAGAATATAATATCCAACCAAAATTTTTATATCAATAATCCCAAATTTTGGACAAAAAAATACAATAGAAATGGAAAAATAATTGAAATAATATAAATTAGCTTTGAATTTCCAAAAATCTGGTATGCACAACACACAACTTTCACTTACCACTTAACTTTGAACAGAAATTATTTTCTGGCCATGTTGGGCTATTATAAAATTTTTGAATTACATTTTTAACCGACCTAAATCTAAAAAAATACAGCTAACAAATCATAAATACAATCAAAATAACAAAAGTCCTATTTATTATATCACTGGTTGATTATGAATTGTACGATCCGTTAATTATGGATTGCACGATCCGTTGATTATGGATTGTACGACTATTAGTTATTAAACTGTCATTTTCCATTGTAAAGTTTGCTAAAACAGAATTAAGAGATTTGCATTGTCTTTCATGGACAGGTCAAAAGTTGTCACACTAATTGTAAGTTGGAATATCACAAAAAGAAATTTCATCAAACTATTCACTAATTTGATTTTCGAAAAGATTACATGATGATTTTTCCGAATAAACGGACGATAGATACTTAATTATTTATATATAATATCAGATCTAGAATTATTAAACTACAGTAAATGTATTTAAGGTTATAAACATATGCTTTATACATTCATGAAATGATTGTATATTTTACTTCTACTTTAATACAAGTATTGCCTTGATTAGGTGGATTGTAAATACTTTTTTCAAACTCAACAATATTTTAAAAGTTTACATTTAGTTAGTAAATTTCATTGAATTTTCTTGAAAACGTGTGATTTAGGTTAAATATTATGTTTTCAAAAATTATTATTTATAATTTTTTTTGCCACTCTTTGTTAGCTTCTACAACTTTCTATCATAGATATTGTTTTTTTCTAAAATTCTCCGCTTTCCAACGATATATTATACGTATACCTTCTGACTAGTATTTCCGGAGATTCATTTTCGACCTGGATAAGCACTTATATTTTTTTCTCCTTTATTCAATTATCAAATGCTTTCAGAAGTTATATTTATCATTTTTTCGTAACTTTTAATAATGAGAGATAG